ACTGAGCCAAGAAGCAGCAGGAAGCTGAGGGGCTAACTTCCTGCTCAAGCTGCACAAGCTCAGCTCACTGGACAGAGGCCACTGGGCAAGGCTAGAAAGAACTTCAGGTTTGGGGGTTCTTGTTCTTAATCCAGAGCTGACATCCCCTGCGTCTTAACGCTCTTGGAGAGTACAGGTAAATTTAAAATACAGAAGTACATTTGGTGCTTAAGTTGTTTTCTTTTAAGCCCAGAAATGATAACATTTATCACTAATTAAACAATAATTACATTATGGAGTACTGAAAAAAATTGCTTGTAGTATAAACAACATCTGGTAAAGATTAAAAAGAAAGAATAATTTTTCCAGGCTCAAATTTGTTGAAAGAAACTTGAGTGTTTTGAAACAAAATAGGTCCTGAAATGTAAAAGGGTTATTTACAGTCTTATGTTTAGCATTCTGAAAGCAGAAAAGAAGAAAATGGCATAATAAAACATAACGTATTAATAAAGGTACTTTACACAATAGATATAAAGGTTTCATATAAGTCGGTATCGTAGAAACCAAATTGCTTTTGAACTCCATCAAAGAGTTTACTATTGGAATGAATCTTCCGGAGAATCCCTTTTTTATTTTTTTATTTTTTAAAAGATTTTATTTATTTATTTGACAGAGAGAGACTCAGTGAGAGAGGGAACACGAGCAGGGGGAGTGGGCGAGGGAGAAGCAGGCTTCCCGCGGAGCAGGGAGCCCGACGCGGGGCTCGATCCCAGGACCCCGGGATCATGACCTGAGCCGAAGGCGGACGCTTAATGACTGAGCCACCCAGGCGCCCCGAGAATCCCTTTCTTAAAAGAGGAAAGTTATTTTCTGGTAAATGTAGTCACCCTTTAATTATATACAGGTATCACCACAGGGGCTCCCGCCCGTCAGGGGTTTGGAGGAGTGGGCTGGGACTGCTGACTCCTGCGTACACTGCGCACACTGGAGGCCAAGCTTCTCATCAGCCATTTCTTCTTGAAGAGAATGACTGTTCCTGAGTAAAGTATTTAACTGTCTTAAAACAGACCACGAAAGAGAATCTGTTTCAGGCTTCCCAAACTTCATCTTCTCTCTTACCTCCAATTTCCCTCTTTATTTTTTAGATAAAAATATCTGTGAAGGATGATAAATGGAAAAGGCTTGAGAACTTTTCTGTTTCCTCACTGCCCTTTTTTCTGTGAGGCATTTACTTTTGTCTGTAAACTACCTTGAATCACAGTACAGTTTCCCTTTCTGGTTGGTAGTCTCTCTTCTCTTCCCCCTTCCCCATACTCTATCGAGCACACACAAGGAATCAGAAAATGATAGAGAAGAGAAAAGATTTCATCCATGAGAATTCTGTTCTTCCATGTTCTCAGGCCTCTTTCAAGTGACAAGTGGCTTGTAATAATCCTTGATGAATTGGGTTGAAAATAACAGGTTAGGCATCAAGGGCAGAGAGTTTGCATGGATGTTATTTGTACAGTTGGCTTCTCCCTCACCTTTCCCCCACAACCGACAGGCCGAGAGCACACGGCCACTGCGCATTTCTTCTGTGTTGACTCTGTCTTGCCTTGTTCTGTTGAGGGCTGGGAATGGGCTGTCCTAGGCAGAGAGGAGATAAACGATGCATTCCTGGGTAGCTGTGGGAGACAGGAAGGGGATGCACACCCAACAGAACAATCTGGTCCATAAGAAAAGGAAGCCAGAGTCTGAAGCTCTCCATCATCATCTTCTGTTCATCCTCCAACATTCAGTGAAAGGATTGGGGGTGGTGTGAGGGGAGGGAAGAAGGCAAAACGTGTGTTATTGATGGCCTCTTGGTGACATAGTTTCCCTAGACTTGAAATAATCTGTACATGGAAGTCGTTAGGCCAGATGGAGAAGAGCAGAGCTTGAGAAGGAACAGATTTTGGTAGGACGGAGAAAAACAAACAGATGGAACCCAAGAAAGTTTTTCTTTCCCTCATTTTTACAGGAAAGATAATCGCCCAGATTGCAGGGTTTTAGAGCTAGGGTTCGAGGCTTTGGGTTGCAGGGTGGTGGCCTGTGGTGGGTTACTGTAGGGTCCCATTCTACAAATAAAACAGGGCACAGAGGGGTTAAATGTCTGGCTCTTCCCTCACAAGGATGCTGTAAAGATTTAGGGGAGGGAAATTTATGGCTTCCAAAGAAACATAAATTAAGACTTTAATTCTATTTGGAGGATTCTCTTGATAAGAAAAGCAGCTTAAGTTTGCTTTTGTGATTTGATGTCACTGGGACACATGCCTGGCCTGTGACCACTCCAGGCTTCATGAGGGGACTCACTGACCCTGAAATTATGTGCTCGGGAAGTGTAAAGAGTCTCATTTGAAAAACCATCAGTAAAGGCTTCAGATGAGAAAGAGCTGTTCACAGCTCTGGGGCAGCAAGGAAGACTGGTTTTTAAATCAAAATCTCTGCCACTGCTGTTTCAGCAAGGTTCTCCTGCCTCCTGGCATCTTATCTGTTGTAAAAGCTAAAATGGGTTGTAGAAGCAGGCTGAGAGCAAATAAAAGTCTGAAATATTTAGATGGAAATCTAAGCAAAGAGTCCAGTGGCATGGAGAGAGCAGGTGTTTCCACACATTCTGGAGACATTTAAAACATTGGATTGAGTGGTTTTGATAGAAAACACTGCATAAAATAGAAGTATGTCCAAACTCTAGTCCTCTCTTAACAAACTAAGTTAGAACATTCTTGCTTCTCCCCCTTTATTTTCATGGCAGCCTATTCTACCCATTGGATTATCTTTTCATTGGCGATTTAGAAATCTATCCCTGTAATTAGTATTTTTTTTAAGATTTTATTTATTTATTTGAGAGAGAGAGCACAAGCAGCGTGAGGGGCAGAGGGAGAAGCAGACACCCTGCTGAGCAGGGAGCCCCATGCAGGGCTTGATCCCAGGACTCCAGGATCATGACCTGAGCCGAAGGCAGACGCTTAACCGACTGAGCCACCCAGGCGCCCCCCTGTAAATAGTACTGAATAATTTTCTGCTAGCATCATATTTACATTGTGGCTCTGGATTAGTTAGACCATTTGGATCAAAAGGAATGGTTCTATTTTACCATTTCCAATTTTGGTTTTCTCTCAGTGCATTTTCAGGCTCTGTATGTCTGTCTGCTTGTGGGCATGTGACACAAACACTTACTCAGGCATATTGTCCATCTATGAAAGTTTGAAAAATTTTTGGCAAATCTGATGAATCACTGTAAAACACATAGTTTGCTTTTCTCTTGTTTGATTTTTCCATTATGAATATGTAGAAAGGTTTATGATATTTTCTGGGCATTTATCCAGTGACCTCTTAATAACTGTTATTATTTACAGTGGGTCCGAGACACAGGGAGATTAACTGACTTGCCTGAGATCAAAGCCAAGAAATAATTTGCCTCCCTTCTGTTGAACCATGGTCCTGCCAGATTATTTCTTGAGTACATAATGAATTTAACTATGAGAATTTTTAGTTGGTTTCTTTTAGATAAAAATTCACATCAATGAAGAATTAGGGAATGTGGGTTACTCTACTTAAAGAGTAGCAGTTTGTAACTTGCAAAACACAAATCTTTCTCTTCCAGTAATTAAAAGGAAATCTTCCCATCCTTTCAACAAGTGGCAGTGTTCTTGCCTGGAGCGGGCTGTGACAGCTTGTAGTGGCAGTATGTGAACACTAGATGGCACCCGTTCAATGTTACAATTCAAAAGGCCAGCGCAGACTGGAAAGTGGAAAAGAAAATCTATGGAGATAGGCTCCATTCTTTCTTCAGCATGCCCCAGAAAACTTGTGAGGCAAAGCATGTCCTTTCTTCTTCTTTTCTTGTTGAGGGGCTATGAAAAAATGTTTACCAGAGCTGGTCATAGCAAGTGCAGTAGGACTCAAAAGAAATGTCCCTTGTAGAGCTTAATCCACTCACATTTGGATGCTACTGTAAAATCTGTTTCAGAACACAAATGGCATTTTCTTTTTTCTTTTTTTTTTTTTAAGATTTTATTTATTTATTTATTTGTCAGAGAGACAGAGTGAAAGCACAAGTATGGGGAGCTGCAGGCGGAGGAAGAAGCAGGTTCCCTGCTGAGGAGGGAGCCCAATGTGGGACTCAGTCCCAGGACCCTGGGATCATGACCTGAGCTGAAGGCGGACACTTAACGACTGAGCCACCCAGGCATCCCACAAATGGCATTTTCATTTGGCTTAACATTATGCTTTGATCTCTGGCTGAGAAGATAGGCAACCTGGGTCAGGCCCACTGAAGCCCCACCTAGGCCACAGTTGGTCAACTTCTGCAGATTGAAATCATCAAAACTATCACAAAAATATTCACAGAATAAATCACTTTTCTTGTTCAGAATGATGGTATCTATATTTTATTTTCATTAGCCCCTTTTTCATCCTAAATAATTTAAGCTGTTAAATTCATAGTGCACTAAGATGTGATATTATTTAGTCCAGGATGGTAGTAGTCACTGTTTTCCTCAAATAATACTAAATTACTATGTACTCATTGCCTAATAAGGAGGAATGAAAAGATAGCAGGCCCAGACCTGACCGTGGGGCACTTCTGGGCCATGGGGGGTGGTCAGACACACGGGCAGGTGTAAAACTAGCAACACAGGCAGGCTCTGCCTTTACTACAGCATGCTGGTGAAAGGTATTTTTAAATTTCCCATGATACTTACTGATTCTTTCTCTGGATCATATTGGCCTGTTGGAGAAAATGTAGAACATACAGGAGTATAAAGAGGAAACAAAGCTTGCCCATAATCTCTTTGCTCCTAGAGAACCAGTTCGTGTTTATAATGCAAGGCTTTTTCCTTGCACTCAGAGTTGGTTTTTTTTTTTTCCCTAACCCAAAGGGATATGCCCATTTTCTAGACACCAGCAGTTCTAGATAGCTCATCTCCCTGATAATAACCAGTCATATGTTATCAATGAAATGCTTCTGATATTTTACTTTCTTTTGGTCTCTTCCTTTACAGCCTGAAGCAGCCTGCCACCCTGCCATATTCAGAATTGTTGATGAAATGTTCAGGTAAATGATGTGCTATTTTTGCTAATAATTGATCTAGAAAAGCCATTTTCCAAATATGAATAAAAAATTTTGTGGTAGTCTCTGGCTATACAATGGGGAAGTTAGTTTCTGATTCTGTCTTACCCTTCTGAGCTATTTGGTAAAACCTAAATATCAGTGTATATTAAAAACCAATGCCTAAGAATTAAAAATAACTTTTTTAAACCATTTAAAGTTTGAATTATAATGGTAGAAAGGCAAAATCGAATTAGATATCAAATCATTAACTGTTCATGTAGGATTTTTCTCAGCTCAAAATAAAGCATAGCAGTGTACTCCCTTCACCACATGAGGGCTGACCGATCTTTTTAAAGGAATTTAAAGCTAAGGAAAAACAGAGAAAAAGAAATAACTAATGCCATTCTTAAGAGAGCTGAAAGGCAAAATCAACTATACATGTTATCCTAAAACACACTAATTTTACAAATATGAGTACTTCTTAGGAAGTTTATTGGATTTACAGATGAAGAGAGATGAGAGACCACTGGATACCAGGTCGGGTCATCGCTGGCTGTTAGTGGGAGCTTGTTACCAAGGGAGGGTTTCCATCCTCTTTCCTGGGTACTGGCGCTTACTCTCCCCACCTTCATCCCCCTGGCCCTCAGCAGTAGAGCCTCCAGGGCAGACAGTAACCCTGGGGAAAGGAATTTTTACAACAGCAAATAACCCAGTCCTTGAGTTGGTCTTAACATACTAACTTCAGGCTAAATAAATGAGCACAGGAGTAAGAATGATGTTTTTAGTTTAAAGCGAGCAAAGTTTGAGTTGATTTCTTTTGTTTCAACATATAGTTAGTTGTATGAAAATGCACAAAAACTAATCCAGGTACAAGGCAGATTCTTCACAGATTCTTTCACCGCTTCTCTGGGTGGATTTGACCAAGGCACTTTACCCCCTTGGGCAGCTCTTTCTCCACTTGAAAAAGCAAAAGGTCTGTTGATTTTGCATGCCTGGGCATACAATGTGCGAGTATTTCTAAAGAGCACTCAGGCCTCTGTGGAAGGGAAATGCCCTGCTTAATAATTTAAAAACCAAGAAAGGAAGCTCTGGCAGATCGCTATTTTAATGAAAGTATTTAGAAAAGGAGTGACAGATTTCTCCTACTTGCACACAAGGACTGAAATCTGATGAGCTAAGATACTGCTGAAGTTTATGGCACAAAAAGAACGTTTCCACTCTTCCCTTTTACAGTTCAGGCTCACGTGTTTGCCAGATTAATCATTACATGTGTTGTAATCTGGCTTTGCATTGCTCAGGTATGCACTCCTGGAAACCGACGGAGCCCCAGAAGTACTAGCCGCTATTCAAGTGTTTACACGGTGCTTTGTGGAAGCTCTGGAGAAAAAAAACAAGCAGGTTTGTTATATTGCATATATTACTCATTCCCCCAAAGACAAAAAAGGCTGTTAAGAGTATCTAGCTAATCACCAGGAAGGAGCACTTTATTTTTAGTAATTTTGATAAACTCTTTTGCTTATGAAGAAAGCTTCCAAATGAATGCCCCAGCAAAGGTAAAACCATTTTAACTGAAAATAAATCAGGGTAGTTTCTGTCTGCCCTGTGCCCTGGTACCCAGAAGCATTTACCTGCTGTTGTGTAAGAGAACTCTCATGTCAGCACGTGCCACCCTGGGGGAGGCATTTTCCAGGCCCCGTGTTGCATGCTGTCTGCCAAGCGGGCCTCCGCCCTGCCCGGGCATTCTGGAGTTTATATAGCTGGTGCTAAGAAGGAAATGCCACATATTACAAAGGAGTGCTGGACATTCTTAATTATTAGAGTTGCCTTGCCTAGCTAGGAGAGACCCAAATGTGAATTGGGTTCCAGGAGAGAAAGGAGCCAGTAGGAGTGACGAGAGATTTGAGTCATTGTAGAGAAGCAGCTAGGAGTGGCAGTGACCAAGAAGTGCGAGTTGGACCCAGTCAGCGAGCAAGAGCCAGACGTGAGGGCTATAGGAAGACTTGTACTGTGCAGCCCCATCAGCAGAAGCCAGACAACCCCTGCCCAGGGCCGGGGACTGATTGGAGGGACCTTGTGAAACAGGAAGCATTCCTACCAGAGCTTTCACTGTCGGGCATTTTAACTGACCTATACCATGTGTGGGGCCTTGCCTGTCCAGGCTCCTGGGTCCACTGCAGCTTCCCAGGAGGTAGGTCATGGTTCCTCACCATGCTTTCCACAGCCTGACTGAAGAGAGCAGTGCTGTGTGACTCTTCCTTTGCTACAATCCCATACACCCCTACACCAAAGAAATCTCGCAGGTTTTAGCAGATGTTCCCGCTTTTTAAGGCAATCATAAATATTTATGATGTGTTTTCTCCCATCCTTTTTCCCTAGGGAGGTTAAATAGACTGTAGCAAACCACGTTTCAGTGGTACCCAGCCTGGAATTCAGGAGGAGAGCTCTGCTGAAAGGCATTGGTTGACCCTCACACCCATTTTGAGGCATAACTGTAAATATCTTTTATCCTCCCTTGTGCATTTTTTGTATTCCCAGTTAGGAACCAGCCTCTAGAAAACTTGCCCCCTTGACTCCTGAACAACACCTAGGCTGGGGCTGAAGACACTGGTGAAAGCATTAGCTTGAGTGTGTTTTTCTTACCAGCCTTGCTCCTGGCTGTTGGCCTTGGGCACTGTGGATTTGGACTGGAGTTGCAGTTGCTTTTAAGTAATTTGTCTATTCTTTTTTTTTTTTTTATTGAGGTCTAATTAACAAATACCAGGTTCAAGTGTACAACGTAATGATTCAATATTTGTATGTATTGTGAAATGTTACAGTAAGTCTAGTTAACATCTGTCACCACAAAGTCACAAAATTTTTTTTCTTGTAGTGAGAACTATTAAGATCTACTCTCTTAGGAGATTCTGGATATGCAATACAGTGTTATTAACTGTAGTCACTATGCTGTATGTTACACCCACAAGACTTATTTATTTTATAACTGGAAGTGTTTGTACCTTTTGATCCCCTTCACTCATTTCTCCCACTCCCCAGCCTGCCTCTGGCAACCACCAATCTGTTCTCTGTATCTGTGAGCTCAAGGGGTGTTTTGCTTTGTTTTGTTTTTTGATTCTACATATAAGTGATATATAGTATTTATCTTTCTCTGTCTGACTTACTTCACTTAGCATAATGCCCTCAAGTTCCATCCATGTTGTTGCAAATGGCAAGATAGCACTTTTTTAACAGCTGAATAATAGTTGCATTGTACATACATAGACTGCATTTTTTTTATCCATTCATCCATCAGTGGACATTTAGGTTGTTTTCATGTCATTGCTGCTGTAAACAATGCTAGAGTGAACATAGGGGGTATAGTTAGTTAACTATCTTTTTGAGTTAGTGTTTTCATTTTCATTGGGTAAACACCCAGTAGTAGGACACTAGATCATTTGGTAGTTCTATTTTTAATTTTTCAAGGAACCTCCATACTGCTTTCCAGATTGGCTGCACCAATTTACATTCCCACCAACAGTGCACTAAGGTTCCTTTTTTTCCATATCCTTGCCAACACTTGTTATTTCTTGTCTTTTTGATACTAGCTCTTCTAACGGATATGAAGCGATTCCTCATTGTGGTTTTGATCTGTATTTCTCTGATGATGAATGATGTTGAACACCTTTTCATGTACCTGTTGGCCATCTGTAGGTCTTCTTTGGAAAAATGTCTATTCATATTTTCTGCCCATTTTTTTAATCAGATTTTTTATATTGAATTTTAATGAATTCTTTATATATTTTGGATATTAACCCCTTATCAGATATATGATTTGCAAATATTTTCTCCTGTTCGGTAGGTTGCCTTTTCATTCTGTTGATGGTTTCTTTTGCTGTACAGAAGCTCTTTAGTTTGAGGTAGTTCACTTACTTAGTTTCACTTTGGTTCTCTTTGCTTTTGGAGTCAGATACAAAAATCATCACCAAGACCATTGTTGAGGAACTTCCCACCTGTGTTTTCTTCTAGGAGTTTTATGGTTTCAGGTCTTAATGTTCCAGTCTCTAATCTATTTTGAGTTTATTTTTTGTATATGTTGTTAAGATAGTGGTCCAGTTTCATTCTTTTACATGTGGCTGTCCAGTTTTCCCAGCACCGTTAATTGTAGAGACTGTCCTTTCCCCTTTGTATATTCTTGGGTCCTTGACCATGTATATGTGGGTTTATTTCTGGGCTCTCTGTTCTGTTGATCTGTGGGTCTGTTTTTATGCCAGTACAATACTGATTTGATTACTGTAGGTTTATAATAAGGTTTGAAATCAGAGGGTATGCTTGAATCTAGCTTTGTTCTTCTTTCTCAAGATTGCTTTGGCTGTTCAGGGTCTTTCGTGGTTCCATACAGATTTTAAGATTGTTTGTTCTATTTCTCTTGCTTTTTTTTTTTTCTATTTTTGTTGCTTTTCTTTTAGAATATTACCCTGCTCAGGCTACACAGGTCTGGCAGTATGGAGGGGTACACAACTGAGTCCCAGTGGAAAGCAAGGCAGGGATCCAAAAAAGAAAGAAGAATTCATTGCCCTGACTTTGGTCTCAGAATAAGAGGGCAGTAACCTCTTATCTTTGCACAGGCCGTCATATACATATATTATGTCATTTCTCTTTGTAGGGCTATTCCTGATTGCCTGCCTTTTTAATTGACGGCCATTTCTCATCATTGATCTCCTGCCTTCTTGAGTGCCCATTTTTAGATTACTCATAATCCTTAATGCATAACACCCTGTGTCCTGTGTGATCCATGCATAACACTCTTTCCTTTCTGTGTTTTATTCATTCATTCATGCATTTATTCTTTTTTTATTTTTTTAAAGATTTTATTTATTTGACAGAGACAGAGATAGCGAGAGCAAGAACAGAAGCAGGGGGAGTGGGAGAGGGAGAAGCAGGCTTCCCACCGAGCAGGGAGCCCGATGCGGGGCTTGATCCCAGGACCCTGGGATCATGACCTGAACCAAAGGCAGACGCTTAACGACTGAGCCACCCAGGTGCCCATCATGCGTTTATTCTTAATAAAACGAATATTTATGAATCTGATACCCAAATGAAACCTGGACCGATAACAATAATTTACATGTATCCGTATAGCCTGTCTCTGTCTTACAGCCTTGCCTTTCTCCCCCACGTAGCCACTGTTTTGAATTTATGTTTATCATTCCTTTGCTTTTCCTGAAAATAATGGAATCACATATATGGGATTTCCTAAACCAGGTGTTCTTTACTTTTTTGCACTTCATAAAACAAACAACAAACAAGAGTAGCATACTGTATGCAGTCTTTTGAGCCTTGCTTTTCCCACTCGCCAAGATTGCTCTGTGTTGTGTGTGGCCACGGTGGGGTGTTGCCGTATAGTACTCTGCTGGGAAAGTGGTGGTAGGCCTCTGGGTTGTTTCCAGATTTTGTTTTCTTTTAGAAATAGGGTTGCCCTGAACATTCTGGGATATATATATATATAGGAGTGGAAGTGCTGGTTATTAGGTATGCAAAGATTTAGCTTCTGTAGATACTGCCAAATTGTTTTCATATGTGGATGTACCAATTTATACTCCCCCCAACAGTTTATGAGAAATCCCATTCATCCACATTCTTTCCCATTGTCAGAAATATTTATCTTCAGTGCTTCGCATTCTCTTTTTATCCTTTCCTCTCACCTTGTTGTATTTGGCAAGCACAGTGCAGTTCCATCAGTGTGCTCAATTGGACTAGTGTTGCCACAACAAGCCACTTTTTCTAAACTTGCCTAGTGGCTTAGTACAAACAGCAAATCAGTTCAGATTCTGGTTCCAGCAATGGCAGAGTCCAGTAATATATTAGACTAAATCTCCTAATAAAAATTATAAACTCTGAGGAATATGTTTAAAACTATTTGAAGGTACTAGAGAGCCACTAAAAAAGCACATAGAAACTGGAGGAGATTTAAGCCTTGAAAAAGAAAACCACATTGGGATTTCTGCTAACCGTCTCCTTAGGTCTCTCATGTGAGGAGTTGGTGGGGGGGGGGGTTGTGGGGTCACAGGTGCCCAGCACTGAAGGCACAATCTGATGGACTTGAGGTGTCATAAGACAGGGCTGTGAGCTCTCTGTCTGTGAGCTCTGCTAGAGAAACAAAAAGTAAATAAATGGGACAAAAGAAAACTAACATCAAAAGGTACTAGTAAAAAGGCACAAATGTCAAATTGGATAAACTAAGATCCACCTGTATGTTGTTTTCAAGAGACCCATTCTAATTATAAAGACACAGGTAGAGTGAAGTAAAAGAAAGAGAAGAGATAGGTTATACAAGGAATCATCACAGAAATTTGGTATGGCGCTACTAGCAGCAGATGGCATAGACTTGAAGACAGGGTATGACAAGAGATAAAGAGGGACATTTTATAATGGCATTATGGTCAGGTCGTCCGGAGAAATACCAATTATAGATGGATATGTGCCCAATAACAGAGTTCTGAAATACATGAAGCAAAAATTGACAGAAGTAAAGAGAGAAAAATGCACAGTTACATATAAAATACTTAAGGGGCGCCTGGGTGGCGCTGTCAGTTGGGTGTCCAGCTCTTGGTTTTGGCTCCGGTCCTGAGATAGGGCCTGCATCAGTTCCGTATTGAGCGTGGAGTCTGGTTTCCCTCTCCCTCCACCCCTTGCCCCCACACTCTCTCTTTACCCCCCCAAAATAAATAAATAAATCTTTAAAAAAATAAAATAATACTTAGATGTAAATTTAATAAAAGATGTGTAAGACCTCTACACTAAACTACAGAACATTGCTTTAAGAAACTTAAATATGTGAGAGAACCCATAAAATTCCAGAACAATATAGCCTGAACAATTCTGAAAAACAAATGCAAAAAAAAAAAAAACAAACCCCAGCAGACTCATACTACCTGATATCAAGACTTAAAGCTACAGTAATCAAGACCATGAGGTATCAGCAAAAGGATAGATAGATTGGTAGAACTGAAGAGTGAAGAGTCCAGAAATATATATCCATATAGTTCATACATTATATATACACGTGTGTGTGTGTGTGTGCGCGCGTGTGTATGTGTATGGTCAGTTGGTCGTTGACAGAGACACCAAGGCAATTCAATGGGGAAAGGAACGTTTTGAACAGATGTGCTGAAACAGCTGGATATCCATATAGCTAAAAACGAACCTCTGCCTCACAAAATACAAAAATTAATTTGAGATAGATCATAGACTTCAACATAAGTGCTAAAACTATAAAGCTCCTAGAAGAAAACATAGGAGAATATCTTTTTTTTACATTGGAACAATCTAAGATTTCTTACAACGGATGCAAAAAAAGCATAAACCATACAAGAAAAAATGGGTAAATTATAGATTTCATCAGAATGAAAAGCTTCTTTTCTTTGGTAGACTCGTTAAGAAAGTGAAAAGGCAAGCCACCGCCTGAGAGAAAATATTTTCAATACATATATTTAATAGAGAACTTGTGTCCAGAATATATAAAGATCTCTTACTCCCTAAGAAGCAACTCGGGTTTTTTTAATGTAGAAAAGAAATGAATACTTCAAAAAAGATATATAAGTTGGCACTAAACACATGAAAATTGCTCAACATCATTTGCTGTCAAGAAGATGCATAGTAAACGCATAAAGAGGTGACATTTCATACCCACTGGAATGGCTGAAATTAGTAAGATTGACAATATCAAATGTTTGCTGTGTGGAGCAACTGGAATTCTCATAAATTGCTGGTGGGAATGTGAGATGGTACAACCATTTTGGAGAACTACATGGCGTTTTCTTAATAAAGTTAAGCAGGCATCTACTCAGTAATTCCACTCCTGTGCTATTTACCCAAGAAAAATGAAAACACACGTCCACAAAAAGACATAAATATGAATGTTAATTAGACGCTTTTTTCATAGTAGTCCCAAACTGGAAACAACCCAAATACCCATCAATAGGGGAATGAATAAACACTATGGTATATTCATACAATGATTATTTCAAGCAATAAGAAAAGACCGTAAGAACGAACTACTCAACAAGCAGAGTAACATGGAAGAATCTAAAAAAAAAAAAATATGTAAATATGTTGAGCCAAATTAGACACAAAAGAATACAAACTCTATGATTCTATTCATATGAAATCCAAGAATAAGCAAAATGAAACTCTCTTGTGGAAATCAAAATATTGATTGCTGGGGAGTGGTGAAACCACAAATGAAGTTTTTGGGGTGACGGAAATGTTCTCTGTTTTGACTGGGATGATGGTCACATGGATTTATAGATTTACCAAAACTCATCAAAGCCCGAGCACTTCACTGTTTATAGATTTTCCTTTAATTTCTTACAAACATACTTCAAAGCCACTCTGCCTTCAGAGGGCATAAATAGCTATAGCGCTTTGGCCCTCAAAGTGTTGAGAGCACCATTGTTGTTTCATGCTTTTTTTGTTGTTAAAAAATCATGCTGGAATACCTAACATCTCATAACCGCCTTAGAAACTCTCACTTAAATAGGAGATTTATGTGCATAATTGGGTTCATGTGAGGTAAAGAACTGCTATGAAGGCATCAGGAACATAACTTTATTTTTCTTAAGCCCCAGAAGGTGATTTCAAAAAGGTTCATTTTTCTGGAACATATTTACAAGGTTATTGGAAGCATTTTTTTAAAAATAAATGTTTAAGAAAACATTCTGACCATGTTAGTACTAGTAGGTCTTTTTGGGGTAGATGATGCAAGATTTTGTTCTTTTTTAATATCCCTTTCAACCCTAATGTTCATGTGGTTTTGAATTTTTTATTCTCTTGTAGCTAAAGTTTACATTCAAGACCTACTTTCCTTATGCTTCTCCATCTCTTGTTATGATGCTGCTCCAACACCCGAAAGGTACGTGAAAGTTGATTCTACCCATATTAAAATAATTTCTGAGAAAGAACACTGACAAATAATGACCCTTCCCTACCAGTCCCTTATGTATAAAACAGGGGAGATGGACTTGGTCATCTCTAACATTCCTTTAAGCTCTCGGGGTCTCACATTCTGTGGGATTTTGATATGGGAATTTTCTGGACTTCCCAGTTATCATCACTTACCAAAAGAAAGAAAAAAAAAATGGCCTCTTGTTAAGTTTTGATAGTCTGCTCCGGATAACACAGGCTTCTACTGGTGCTGGCCAGATCCACCTGAATGCCAGGATCAGGCTAAGACTTGGCTGAGGAATATTAAAACAGTACATTTATTTGTATTTCATTCTTTCCACTCCGTGCCCCTTGTTGCAGAAGGAAAGATAAAATGATGAACAAAGCCTAGGAAATTTAGGGGAAATTTCTCCTAACCGAGCCAAGGGAAGAAGACTTTTGAAAGAATTCAGTAAGTGTATTGGATCATGGCTTTCTCTGGTTTCATTTGCCAGCCTTCCATTGGTCACATCCAATTGGGAAAGTGATGATTCCATCCGTACTGGAGTTGACCTGTTGGCATGTGTAGGAACTTGTGTTTAGGCAACATTTCAGGCATAGAGAATAAAGGCATCCTTCCCCATGGCAGCCTGGCATCTGAGGGAAAGGCAGCACTGACACAGCGCAGACTGTGCCAGAGAAAAAGGCATTTTAACTGTGGAAGGAAAAAGAAGAGGGAAAGAGCTGGTAATATTTCCTTTTTATGCCATTTTTGCTTGCATTTTTCCTGAGACTTGAGTAAGTTGATTCATTCAAGGAAAGTAGATGATTCAAAGTTTCAGAGCATTTTACAAAATCCAGTTCTTTTTCCTTTTTCTAAAAGATGTAGGTTCTCACCCAAAGTGACCCATCCGACCCTGTCCTCTCAGGTGCTAGCGGTAGAGGTGGTAATGAGGCTGGCGGGACCTGGGGTCAACAGTGTTGTGAAACTTACCCTCTGGGCACACAATGGGAAAACTTTGATAACGAGACAAAAAAGTCAGCATTTCTCTTTCTAGAGGTACACTTTACAGCTTAGGTCAGATTAGCAAAGCCTGAGGTAAGCCTATGTGAAAAACTGAATGAGCTCCAGAAAAAATACTGGAGTTGTTATTTTTTAAGTTGGGAAATCTATAAACAAAAGACTAAGGTGATACCTTGGGCATGAAGTCAGCCGTTTACCTTTTCCTTTATGTGACTGTCCTAGATTTATGTCCAAAAATAAATAAGTGAATTTTAGCAGGAGTTCCTTCTATTCTGCTTTTCAGCATATTACTTTTGAAAAAAATGAATGTTAAGTTCACAAATTGAAGTATTTTTTTAAGACTTTATTTATCTGAGACAGAGAAAGAAAGAACACAAGGAGGGTCAGAGGGAGAAGCAGGCTCCCTGCTGAGCAGGGAGCGCAATGTGGGGCTTGATCCCAGGACCCCGAGATCATGACCTGAGCCGAAGGCAGACGCTTAACCGACTGAGCCACCCAGGCGCCCCTGAAGTATTTTTTAATAGTAGAATCTTCTATTCATCAGAAATTGATTTTGTGCCTACTGTTAAGTCCTGTGGGGCATAAAAGATAGATCACTTACAAGCCCTGACTATCCAAGAGCTACAGTAGGGGGGGACATAAAATAAGTATCTAAATAATTAATACAAAGAAGAAAATTGAAACATGCCTTTAAAGGCTACAAATCAAGAGTTATGGGCATTTCAGAGGAGGGAAAGATAATGTATGAGCCTGTAATCCATGACATTTGTGGGGTCGTTAGCAGTGCTTACCCCATCGCTTACATTATCTTCTGATGTATTTAATTACAGAGCCTATCACTGCATGGAAATGTGGTAACTTTTTCAGATGTTGTTTAGAACTGCAGATACACACATGTTCAGATGTGTCTAAAACAATGGGATAATTATGAAACTAGAAAAACTAACTCAAGAAAGGACATCTGTTTGTATGATATCTGTGTATTATTTTCCTGGCCTTTCCTTTAAACCTGAAATCATATTCTGAATTCATCACAGTCATAGAAAAACAGTTGGGCAGCCTATTCTTAGTTCCTTGTTGACTTTTATTACCATCTCCATGTACTCTGAAATCATGAATTGTCAGTGATGGGGACGGTAGAAAAGAAAAAAACCTGGGGTATCTGCAACATAACATTTCCAGTCCTAGGGCAGGCTGCAATTTGTCTCCTTCCATATACCTGAGTTAAAGAGCCTTTGAAGTTTAGTTCTATGTAAACACTGAGGATCTTCCCAGGCCTAAGGGATGGATATGGACTGGGAACAGCATGAGACCAGTGGTATGGGTCCCATGGACCAGGAAAAACAAGGCCTTTTTCCAAAGCTCTTCTGGTCTTAGCAGCAGATGATCCTGATAGGTTTGACTTTTCTTCAGTTCCCTCTGGTCTGTCTCTCTACCCACAGAGATCCCACAAGAACTGTGGCACCAGCCACTGAAACATATTTCTGAAATGCTCAGAGAAATGGTTGAAGACCAGACTCACGGGTAAGCAAATCCCGACGACTTGTAGGTCTGAGTCACAGTGATTTCTCTTGATCCTGACCTTCCCTTTATGGAGGGCTCACGGGACGGCCTTACTGGTCTGTGGCCATCCCCAAACAGGTAAGCACATTGCTACGTGAGAAGTAGAGGAAGCACATAGTGAGCTGCATGTATTGCTCAGAATCGACAGGTATGTATGTAAATACCTTGTATAGAAACTGTCCTGAATAATGGCCGGTATTGGATTTTGAAATATATAAGCATAACAATAAGAAAAGTAGACCGTATAAAAAAAGCAGTGCCCACATGCCACCCCCACCCCCAGCCATGCAGAAGGAGAAGGGCAGTGCCCTCTGGGTCCCTTGGTCTTCTCCCTTCCTCTTACTCTCTAGGGAAGGAAATTCTCACCTTCTCTTGCACAGTAGGATAAAATGCCCCTTTTCCTCTTTTTAATAAATATTTTTCTAAAGTTAGAAAATCCATTCTAATATAAATTAATTTCTAACATGATATTAAGTACCCTCTCATATACATTATTTTCCTAAAAGCAATCACATTTAGGCTTTTAGTTCTTTGTGACATAACACCCTTCAGCTTCCTCTTGACTTACTTTTTTGTAGAGTACAAATATTTTATTTGTTGTCTATACTAACCTACTAAGACTGTCTTTATTTGTTCCTTTTGCCACTATTCCCTCTTGAAATTCTCTGTACTCTCCTCACTGAGCCATCACAGATTCCACCTGGTCCTCCTTATGTTCATGATCACTGATGAAGGCTTTGTGCCAGTTACTCACCTCCCCCTCCCCGACAAGATTCTTACCAATAAATGAGACAAAAAGAACTAGCAGCCAAGCGGGGATCAGAGTATTGGGCTCACTGACGACCTGTAACACCATCAGCCCCATGTGCATCCTTTCAGATTGTCTCTGTTGCAGAGCAGGACCTAGACCCAAAACTTCATGGTACTCCTACCTAACCTAGATCTGCCTTAATTAGATTTCAGGGTCCACCTGCAGGGAGGGGTGGGTGAGCAGGTTTAGATGCTTTCTCAGCCGGCCACTGGGACTGCCTCACATACTTAGTTCCTGGTAGAAAACAGCAAGAAGGACCAGGCCCATTTGTGTAAGGCAAGCTCTGAGCTCTGATCCAGGTGTGATGCCCATCTGTGAGCAGGGAGCGTGAGAGAGCCCTGGTGCTCAGCTTATAAGTGAGGTCTGTAGGGGAGACACCCTGTGGAGCTTGTCCCTTGCTTTTGAGACATCATAAACCAGCTGACCACTGATGCGGCCCACAGAGCACTACTTCTCCGTCCTGTGGGACAAGTAAGATTAATACCCTCCTTTCTTCTTTTCTCTCCATTGTTCCACAAGCTAGATTTCAAAACATTTAATCACTTGTTCTTGGAACAGATACAGCAGACCCAGATCCAACCAAGGGAGGCCTAGAACTCTCCTGTTCCAGGAGATTTCCCGGTTCAGAAGGAAAGTTCTGATCTAACTTGATCTCAGGCCAGTCTGCTCCCTTTTCTCCAGGGGAGATATTAAGCTGCTGACACTATCACTGTGCATATTAACGGGTCCTTTCCTTGACTGGAGTCTACCCTTTAAACAACCAGCACACCTCTTAGTTCCCAGCATGACGGAAGGATACCTTCACAAAAGCTTCTAGCTTTTCAGCTTGGACATATACGTGATGACAGGAAAGAATACAGTATGCAGCCCATTAAGAATTCATAATTACCAAAATACTGACCAGAACCTTGTGTTTTGTCAGAAAGGAAACCGCGCATGTTTCTGTCTGCATCCCTTCTCTGGTCTCCATCTGGACCCCCAGGAGCCCCCTCCTGCTCTGGAGCTATCTGGGTGGCTGCGTAATGGCTGGGGGGCCCCACTTTCCACGGCAGCCCAGCTGTGCAGGCCAGGCAGAAAGCGGAGGGGTGCCTGCAGGTTCTCATCTTGTGGCATTCCTCTTGGTCATGGTCCAGAATCTTTCTTTGTCAAAGTCCTATACTCACTCGTGGTCCTTGGATATAAAGATTTAAATGTCTGAAGTCCTCAGGGCACGTGGGGTTTTGAAAGACCTGCCTTTGATGGCCCTGTGATGAGTTCAGCATGGCATTGTGAGCTACTTTTCTGAGTCTAACTTGTATTCCTTGCAAGTTGTACTTCAGTGCATAAGAACAATTTAAGCCAACCATTTGCAAACATTACAGCTGCTTTAAGAACCAAAAAGAGAAAGAAATCAAGTTGCCAGGCTGCCATGTGTTTTGATTCTGTTCCAGGTCCTACGGAGGCCCCTTTGAGTGCTGGTTTTTGTTCATTCACTTTGGAGGATGGGTTGATATCGCGGCTGAGCAGTTAGTGATGTCAGAAGCTGATCCCCCTGAGGCCCTGCTGTGGCTCTTGGCATTCAGCTACAGCCCACGTGACAGGAGTCTGCAGAGAGCACAGACCATGGTGGGTGGCAGGGCCCACTCTGTGTGGTGCTCTGGGTCCGTCTCGGGATCAGAAAGGATGCTGCAGGTGGGGGCCTGTAGTGGGTTTGGCTTCCACTAACCCCCAGGCACCTAAGCACTGAGTGTTCACTGTGTTCATTGTGGAAGCATGTCGATGTCCACCCAGATAAATGAGTGCATGTGTGCTGGGTTTGTGGTCGGAGACGTCTTCTTGCCTCACAGAGTTGACTGGAGACAGGACACTGCCACTGTGCTTTCCCAGGAAGCATGGAGGAGATGAGGCATAGCCCTTCTGTCCCCCACGTTGTTTTATCTGGTCTTGCTCAGCTGCCTCCTCTGCCCTCATTTACAGACACTTCTGGCCCAGGGGCCACGTCCTCTAGCATTTGCTATGCGGAGTCTGACTGCTTTTCTGAGGAGCACTGTCCTCTCTCTGATCAGCAGCCCGGCCTGTCTTGACTTACTGCTTTCTTGGATCAGTCAACAGATCCTCACATTACCAGCTTTGTTTAGAACTCTTACTAAAGTAATCTGATATTAACCCCTTAGCTCCCGAAAAAGGACTTGGGCATTCCATAAATAACAGAGCCGCTAAGTACTAGATTGTCTATGGCAAAGAGAGTTGTTATTTTATGTGGAGTATAACGATTACAGGAAGCAGTGCTTTGATTAAAGGCATTGGCACCTCCCTTGCAAGCATTTATTTGTTGGTTTTTAAAACTTTAACTAAAGCTAGAACTTTCTGCTAATTTTAATAATTAAAGGGAGCAGGTTTCTTTATGTAGAGAGCAGTGCTCCTTTTTGCTTGATGTTTTCCATTGTTGGAAAAAAGCGGACTAGTACAGATATGTCTGTATATATTACTTGTTTAAAGGCTTGCATGGTAGAGGAAAAAAAGAGTTTTGGATTTTAAAAAGTGGAAATTTGGTGATTATTTCGGACCAAAAATAGAACATTTTGAAGAAATTATCATAATCCACATATGTATTTGAGGGTTACTATATGATTAAAAAGAAAGCCTTCTATTTCCCTTTTAAAATACCAAACTAATTAAGTGGGAAATCCTAATCCTAATTAAGGGAAATCCTTATTTTTAATAATAGTAGATGTTAAAATGCATGTAGCACATGCATGATTTCCAAAGCCCTGTTATATATACTTTGATTGTTTATAAGCTAAGTAGGTAGGTTGTATGTTAAATTCTATATCGATCATAGAAACCAACAGAGGTTCACTTTTGAACTGAAGAGAAATAAGTTGTCCCCCCCAAAAATGTAAGTTCTAGAAAGTTCTGCATTGGCATGTCTTTCTAATACTTAACTTGGTCTTTTTTTTTTTTTTTAAATAAAACCTGTGCATAGTTCTTACTCCAGGGATGCTTAGGTATACTGGATAAAAATAGCTTAGCTTGGGGCACCTGGGTGTCTCAATTGGTTGGGTATCTGCCTTCAGCTCGGGTCATGATCTTGGGGTCCTGGAATCGAGCCCCACATCAGGCTCCCTGCTCGGCAGGGAGTCTGCTTCTCCCTCTCCCTCTGACCCTCCCCACAGCTCATGCTCTCTCTTGCTTTCTCTCAAATAAATAAATAAAATCTTCTAAAAAAATAGATTAGCTCACTCAGAGTAGTTTAGCGCCAGCATGTTCACTTCCTTCTTAGCTATCCTGTCAGAGGTGGCTGTTCGTCTTGTGATTGAAGCCACATTTCATGTTTGTGATCCCAAAGCTTCTTTCTTCCTCCTTGGTGCCCAACCTGAGGCGCTGGTATGTGTGACATCCTGAGAAGCAAGTGGGCCCATTTTCCTAGTTTAATTAGTAGGCTATGCCTCTCGCTCTCCTGGGTTTTTTGAGCTTTAATCCCTTTGATGGTCTCTTGGGTGACTTGAGAAACGAACTGTGAGCTGCTTTTGAACGTGTGATTATTGGAAGATTTGAATGAGCCTGACAGCATCTGTGCCTTTTCCTCAAAAGGTGTCATTAAATCCAGTTAATCGCTCAGCCCTGATAGCATACTGTAGCTAGAAGCACCCCCTCCCCTGACCACCCTTGAGGTTCAGTAGTGGGGAAGCAAGAGCAGCCACCGCACAAAGACCCACCCTTCGCTCTGCAGACCGTGTTCACTGCCAGCCAGTGTCCATCTTCTTTTGCTAACTTTGAATTGGATCATGATAAAAACAAAAAATGCCTCTGTTTGTGTATCCCTAAGAATTAGGCCAGGGTTCATACTCTAACTTTGTCATTCTGCCTCTAGGAATTATCCTAGGGAAATAATTAGAGATCCATACAAAGATTTATGTATAAGACATGAGCATTATTGTAATTGCAGACATTACAAATGGCCTAAACTTTGAATAGTAAAGAACTGACTAAATAAATTGTGACATATTCTAACCATGGACTAGCATTCTGCCATGAAAAATCATGTTCTCAAAGACTGTCATAGATACATGACATTGCTTACAGTGCATTGTGAAAACTGTAAGAAAACATTGTGCATAGTGAGTGCTGTGTGCACAAGGCATGGGAAAAAGACGAGAAGGATGTGAACCTGGTTTCCTCCATCTCTTCTGGAGAAAGTGGAGCAGGACCAGCCTGAGATCAAGTTAGATCAGAACTTTTATTTGGGTAGTGGAGTTATATACTTTTTTGTTCTAAATTTCTGCAGTGAGCATATGTAAATTTTCATAATGCAGGATAAAAAGTACTCCTTAGAAAAGAAAGCTTATGTCTTTTACCTAAAAACAAATGAAAAAGCATTTAAAGTTTTGGCATGTCGGGGGACGCCTGGGTGGCTCAGTGGGCTAAGCATCTGCCTTCAGCTCAGGTCATGATCCCAGCGTCCTGGGATCGAGCCCTGCATCATCCATACTTAGCGGGGAGCCTGCTTCTCCCTCTCCCTTTGCCTGCCTGTCTGCCTACTTGTGATCGCTCTCTCTCTTTCTCTGTCAAATAAATAAAATCTTTTAAAAAAATAAAAATAAAGTTTTGGCATGTCAGGTAGAAGCTTATGGACATGGAAGGCATTTAAAGGGAAAGATGGTCTGGAATGAAGACCAGTCTTAGGGAGTACTGGACAAGGGTAGAAAATCAAGAAGATTTTCTTCAGTCAAGAACAAAATGGATATGAAGGCATAACTTCCTAAGCTCTGACATTTTTGCACACCATTTAGATGACAGGAGGGTCTTGGGCTCCCATAGACGCCATCAGATGAGGGCAGGCTGGGCCCAGCTGACAGAAGGAGGTGGTGAGAGAGTAGCCCTCTCCTGTTGGAATGCTGCCATTCTCTGTGGAAGAGCCCCGTGGTGCAGTTTCTCACGGTCTTGGACTGTGGTCAGAATAGCTCACACAGCACTCCTAGTGTACTGGAGTTTATGACAGACTTCATTGAATGAGGCCTTAACTTCCAGGAAAAAAAAAAAAAAGATTCACACAAAATCCATAAAATTGGTCATGGGAATTCTCAGAATAGGCCTAAGTATTCTTCCAAAAATGACGGAACATAGCTGTTCATGAGTGCCATGTGGCATTTTGGATCTATGGCTTTTCAGTTTTTTCTTTGTTTCCAAGTCACAACTTGATGTACCATTCTTCTAGCAAGCAGAAGTCTCAGCATGAAATAAGTATTTTTTATGCAAAAACAACCCATTATGTGGATTCCACAGACTTGTGACCTCTGCTTGGGCTTTAAACATGTATGAACAGACTGTCCCTGTGTCTAAAACAAAACAAATGTGTGTGTGTGTGTGTGTGTGTGTGTGTGTTTCCTCCCCTCAAAGATAGCAAAAGGCAAAAGGCAAACTCATTCTTATCAGAACATTGGCTCAGTGGAGGTCCAGTTGCAGGGGGCTTTAATTGATTTGTGGCTGTGATAGTGAGTGAGTCTTCAAGGAGTTTTTTGTTCTTTTTCCCACAATATAAAAATCTGACTACATTCTGCTGAGGATTTTTCTCCATTTCCTTTCTTTAAAAAAAAAAAAAAAGGTCAATTCCTGGCATGGTGCCTTGGCTGCTTAGTGAGCAAGACGAAAGAAAGTCAAGAAATTTCCATTACGCCCATTTGGGTTTGTGTGGAGCAGTGTGTAAGCTCAGACATGAGTCGCCTCTGTCTGCCTTCCCTTGGGCGCCAGTCCTCTCCTCTTTCTGGGGGTTGCTTCAAAGTCCCAAATCAGTCCTAGAACTATGCATGTGTTGACTCTTCCCTCATATCTCACCTTTGAAATTATACTTCCCAGACAGAGGTAAAGGTAGTGCTTGGCCACCTCAAGAAGCTGTTCAGAAGTCCGACTCTCTCAGCCAAGGATCTGCAGGCAGCAGCTGCAGAGAGCCAAGACAGAGACCCCAGACCACCTTTATGTCAAAAGCTGATCAGGCGCCTCATCCTGAACTTCCTGCTCTGGGCTCCTGGCGGCCATGTGATTGCCCGGGAAGTCATCACCCTTGTAAGTCTCCCCTTTTCTAGCATGCTAAGTTTCACTCACATTCCAGGGAAAAGGTGGATTGTCTGCCCAAGGGTCTGGCCTTTGACGAGTATGTGTACCAGGGTTCTATCCAAATGTGGAAGGACAGGCCGTGAAATTGACAGTTGGGACCCCAGAGCCTGCCCCTCGCAACACCTTCATGACATGGAAGAGAAAATGGAGGCTCAGAGAAAGGAGGTGACTTCTTCTAGGTCACAGCTTGCTGCCAGGGCCCATAGCCAAAGCTAGTTCTTCCGTGTCCTCATGTACTTACTCTTTTAGTTACATTCCATGACTCCCTTCCTCATGAAGAGGAATAAGACTTCAGTGAGGTGTGTTCACTGTAGCAATCCAAAGAGTTTTGTTTGTTAATTAAAAAAAAAAAAAATGTTTGCTAATTACAGTGAATTCCTTCCTGAAACCCAGCTGACATGAGAGATAAAGAATGGTCCAAGTCAAAAGTGAGTATTATTCATGGCATTGGATTAGGCAGTGACTTCTTGGATAATGTCACCAAAGGCACAGGCAACAACAAGTAGATAAATTGAACTTCTTCAAAATTAAAAACCTCTTGTTCATCAAAAGATATTAGTAAGACAGTGAAAGGACAAACTCATGGAATGGGAAGAAAACATTTGGAAATCATACATTTGATTTAGTTTAGTATTCACAATATATTAGGAATTCTTACACCTCAGCAATAGAAAAAATCTAAATCAAAGGTGGGCAACAGATTGGAATTGACATTTTTTCAAAGAAGATATACAGGTGGCCATTAAACACATGAAAAAATGCTCAACAGCATTAGCCATTAGGAAAGTGCAAATCAAAACCCAGAATGAGGTCATTTTTATTTGCTTTAGTTTTTATTTTTTATTAACATATAATATACATGCAGAAAATGTACAGCTTGATTAATGTTCATAAACCAAAAATAACTATGCAGACAGCAACCAAATCAAGAAAGGAATGGTCCCAGCACCCAGAGAACCCCCTTTTGCTCCCTTCCCCGGGCAGGTTCTGTTTGAATGTGAATATGAGGGGAGTCCCAGTGATAAGTGGGACTGCCAAGAACCTCAGAAGCCAGCACTCAGGAGGTTCTCCTCAGTCCTAGTAGAACAGTCAGCATTGAGCAGACAGGCCACAGCAGCCAGCCTGTCAGTCCTGCCTCTCGTGTTCAGACAGAAGGCCTCTCAAGAGCTTGGGCATTGCCAAGAGCGGAAGAGGACTCACCTGTTACACATGCTAGGTGCCATCTCCTCAGGGCCCACTGCAGCACAAAATCTATTGTGTAGTTTTATACAGTGCATACCTCACTTTATTTCAAGTCTGTTTAGGGTGGATGAACTTCATAGGTGAAAGCTAAAAAATGTCCATGTGTCCATAGACCTCAGTACCAACTAACGTTTTATCTCTGGCCAGGTATAAGTTATAATAGTCACTTTTCAGCCACTACCTCAGCCAAGTGATCAAGGTCAACATGAACAGTGATAAGTCGTGTTGACTGTAGGTACCCTTAGTATAACGTGATGAAAGTGGCACTTCTGTGGTCTTCCTCCCCAAAACCTGTAGCCCCAGTCTAGTATTGAGAAAAGTAATTGACAAGCCCCAGTTGAGGGACATTCAACAAAATACCTACTCAGTTATTTCAAAAAGTCAGCAACAGGCACTTTTGAATCATGGAAGTGTTGGAGGCATTTTTGTCACCTGAGACAAATGAAATACCATGAGACAAGTGAAATACCGTGAGACAAATGAAAATGGGAACAGCTTTCCAAAATTTATCACACACAGCAAAAGCAGTTGAAAGAGCAGTTCATAGCAATACAGGCCTACCTCAAGAAATAGGAAATCCCAAATAAACAACCTAACTTTATACCTTTATATCTAAAGGAACTACAAAGAGAAGAACAAAGCCCAAAGTTAGTAGAAGTAAGGGAATAATAAAGATCAGAGCAGAAATAAATGGAAGAGGGACCCCCCCACACACACACACACGAAAAGATCAATGAAACTAAAACCTGGTTCTTTAAAAAGATAAAATTGAAAACCTCCAGCCAGATTCAGAAGAAAAAAAGAGAGGGCTGAAATAAAATCAGAAATGAAAGAAATTACAGCTGAAACCACAGAAATACAAAGGATCGTAAGAGATTACTACAAACAACTATACACTAACAAATTGGAAAACCTAGAAGAAACGGATAAATTCCTACAAACAAGCAACCATCCAAGACTGAATCATGAAGAAATAGAAAATCTGATAGACTCATTATAAGTAATGAAATTGAGTCAGTTATTTTAAAACTCCCAAAAGACAAAATTCCAGGATCAGACAGCTTCACAGGTGAATTCTACCAAACATTTAATGGGGCGCCTGGGTGGCTCAGTTGATTAAGCGACCAACTCTTGATTTGAACTCAGGTCATGATGTCAGGGTCGTGAGATCCATGCTGGATGCGGAGCCTGCTTAATATTTTCTCTCTCCCTCTGCCCCTTCCCCATTCACTCTCTGGAAATAAATAAATAAATAAGAGTTAATGACTGTCCTTCTCAAATTATTCCAAAAAATTGAAGAGGAAGGAATGTTTTCAAACATACTCGTGGGGCCACCAAAACCAGATAAGGACACCACACACACAAAAAAAACTACAGGCCAAAATCCCTGATGAACATACATGCAGAAGTCCTCAACAAAATATTCACAAACCAAATTCAACAATACGGAGCATAAAAGTCATATGATCATCTCAATAGATGCAGAAAAGCATCTGACAAAACTAAACATCCATTTATGATAAAAAGTCTCAATAGACTGGGTATAGAAGGAATGTACCTCAAAATAATAGGGGCCATATATGACAAACCCACAGCCAACATTATACTCAATGCTGAAAAAAGGATGAAAGCTTTTTCTCTAAGGTCAGGAACACGACAAGGATGCTACTCTGACCACTTTTATTCAACATATCACTGGAGGTCCTAGCCATAGCAATCAGACAAGAAAAAGAAAAAGGATCCAAATTGGTAAGGAAGAAATAAAACTGTCACCATTTGCAGATGACATAGTACTATATTTAGAAAACCCTAAAGACTCCACCAAAAAACTATTAGAACTAATAAATGAATTTAGTAAAGTCACAGGATACAAAATTACCATACAGAAATGGTTTACATTTCTATACACTAATCATGAAGCATCAGAAGGCGAAATTAAGAAAACAGTCCCATTTACAATTGCATTAAAAAGAATAAAATATGTAGGAATAAATTTACTTTTTTTAAACTTTTTTTTTTAAGACTTTATTTATTTGACAGACAACAAGAGAGGGAACACAAGCAGGGTGAGTGGGAGAGGGAGAAGCAGGCTTCCTGCAGAGCAGGGAGTCCGATGTGGGGCTTGATCCCAGGACCCTGGGATCATGACTTGAGCTGAAGGCAGACACTTAATGACGTGAGCCACCCAGACACCCCTAAATTTACTTTTTTAAAAGATTCTATTTATTAGAGAGCAAACAAGTGCACACGAGCGGGGGGGCAGGGCAGAGGGAGAGGGAGAAGCAGACTCCCTTCTGAGCAGGGACCCCAATGCAGGACTTGATCCCAGGACCCTGGGATCCTAACCTGAGCTGAAGGCAGATGCTTAATGGACTGAGCTGCCCAGGCACCCTGTAAGAATAAATGTGACCAAAGAGATGAAAAGACCTATACTCTGAAAACTATGACATTGATGGAAGAAATTGAAGACAACACAAATAAATGGAAAAATATTCTATGCTTATTGATTGGAAGAATTAATATTAAAATTATTACCCAAAGCAATCTGCAGATTCATTGCAATCCCCACCAAAATACCAATGGCATCTTTCACAGATTAGAACAAAGAAATCTAAATTTTGTATGGAACCACAAAAGATTCCAAATAGCCAAAGCAGTCTTGAGAAAGAACAAAGGTGGAGGTAACACGTGCCCTGATTTCAAACCATACTACAAAGCTTTCATAATCAAAACAGTATGGTATTGGCACAAAACAGACATAGAGATCAATGGAATAGAGCATCCAGAAATAAATCCATACATAAATGGTTAATCTATAGGAATGGAGGTAAGAATATACAATGGGGAAAAGACACTTAATAAATGGTGCTGGGAAAACTGGACGACTATCTTTACAAAAGTAAATTCAAAATGGATTAAAGACTTGAATATAAGACCTAAAAGCATAAAACTCCTAGAAGAAAAAACATAGGCAGTAATCTCTTCAACATCAATCTTAGCAATATTTTTTTGAACCAGTCTCCTCAAACAAGGGTAACAAAAGCTAAAATAAAATAAATGGGATTACATCAAACTAAAAAGCTTTTGCACAGTGAGGGAAACCATCAACAAAATGAAAACATAACCTATTGAATGGGAGGAGATATTTGCAAATCATATATCTGATAAGGGGTTAATATCCAAAATATATAAAGAACTTACACAACCTAAAAAAAAAACCTGACTAAAAAATGGGCAGAGGACTTAAACAGACATTTGTTCCAAAGAAATACAGATGACCAAGAGATGCTTGAAAAGATGCTCATCATGACTAGCCATCAGGGGACCGGAAATCAAAACCACAATGATCTATCACCTCACACCTGTCAGATGGGCTATTATCAAAAAGACACAAAGTAAGTGTTGAAAGGAATGTGTAGAAAAGAGAACCTTATACACTACAGATGGGAATGTAAATTGGTGCAGCCACTATAGAAAACAATATGGAAGTCCCTCAAAAAATTAAAAATACAACTACTTACAATCCAGCAATTCTATTTCTAGGTATTTATCTGAAGAAAACGAAAACACCAATTCAAAAAGACCATATGCAGCCTTATGTTCATTGTAGCATTATTTAAATAGCCAAGATATGGAAGCAACGTAAGTGTCTATCAGTACATGAAAGGCTAAAAAGGACATGGAATATATATGAAATATTACTCAGC